CAGGTGGAAGGTAGACGAAAAAGAGATAATATCTTTTATTCTCTTGTTCACTTAGGTGCTTCAATATCTTTAAAATATATTTCAAAATATCTTAACAAAAAAAAAAAGAAGAGTTTCAAGACTTACAGGTTGGCGATAGGTACAAGAGACATTGGTAACTCCAGGTGAAAGTTATAAATTATTTAGAATAGAACCACATGTTTTTACGAGATTATGTTCTTTTTTAGTTAGTAATTATGGCCTAACATCAACAAGAGAAATATATGCAGAAGAATCACTTGCAATGTTTCTTTGGACATATGCATATAATCAATTTAATCGAATGTGCAAAATCATTTTAAACATTCGGGAGAAACAGTAAGTAAAAATTTTAGTGAGGTTCTTGATGCAATGGTGAGGTTTTCAAGTGACATTGTGAAACCACATGATTATAATTTTACCAAAACTCTCAATAAGATTCGACAAGATAATAGGTTTTACCTTCATTTTAAAGGATGTATTGGTGCAACTGATAGTATGCATGTTAAAGCCACGATCCTCAAAGAAGACCTAATATCATTTATAGATCGCAAAGGCATCCCCACTCAAAATGTGATGGTAGTTTGTAATTTTGACATGATATTTACATTTATAGTTACAGAGTGGCCTGAATTTACTCATGATGCACGAATTTTTACTCATACATTGAAAAATCATAAAGATGTGTTTTCTCATCCTCCTGAAAGTAATAATTTTCTATTTATTTTGTGTTATAGTTTTTAAGCACAATTTTTAATTAATTTTTAAGAAAATTTTTTGTATTTATTATCAATGACTTCTCTTTTATATTTTAGGTAAATATTATCTTGTTGATGCTGGTTATCCTAATATAAATAGATATTTGGCATCTTATAAAGGAGAAAGATATCACATTCCAGATTTTAGACTTGGAAGCCAACCAATCAATTATCAAGAAGTATTCAACCATGCTCATACTTGTCTTAGAAATGTCATTGAATAATCTATTGGGTGTTGAAAAAATAGGTTTGACATATTGTTTGGCATACAAAGTTATTCATTTACAACACAAAAGAAGATAATAGCTGCAACTATTGCACTTTATAATTATATTAGGCAACGTGCAATCAAGGATAAAGCATTTGATAAGTGTGATCAGAACCTAAATTATATACTTGAAGTGGCTGGAGAAGAGAGCACAGATCAAGGAATCTCAAAGTAATTTTGTTTGTACAATGGAGGATCATGACATGATTTCACTTGGAGATTTCGTTGCTCTATCTCTAATGCAAAATCAATTAAGATGATTATTTGACAAAAATTTTAATTTTAATTGTCTTATTTATGTGACTTAAATGTAATATATTTTATTTTTTAATATTAAAATATAA